ATGCATCTTCCTTCTTTTAGGTGCCTCAAGAAATGCATTCCATGCATCTTCCTTCTTTTAGGTGCCTCAAGAAATGCATTCCCATGCATCTTCCTTCTTTTAGGTGCCTCAAGAAATGCATTCCCATGCATCTTCCTTCTTTTAGGTGCCTCAAGAAATGCATTCCCATGCATCTTCCTTCTTTTAGGTGCCTCAAGAAATGCATTCCCATGCATCTTCCTTCTTTTAGGTGCCTCAAGAAATGCATTCCCATGCATCTTCCTTCTTTTAGGTGCCTCAAGAAATGCATTCCCATGCATCTTCCTTCTTTTAGGTGCCTCAAGAAATGCATTCCATGCATCTTCCTTCTTTTAGGTGCCTCAAGAAATGCATTCCATGCATCTTCCTTCTTTTAGGTGCCTCAAGAAATGCATTCCCATGCATCTTCCTTCTTTTAGGTGCCTCAAGAAATGCATTCCATGCATCTTCCTTCTTTTAGGTGCCTCAAGAAATGCATTCCCATGCATCTTCCTTCTTTTAGGTGCCTCAAGAAATGCATTCCCATGCATCTTCCTTCTTTTAGGTGCCTCAAGAAATGCATTCCATGCATCTTCCTTCTTTTAGGTGCCTCAAGAAATGCATTCCATGCATCTTCCTTCTTTTAGGTGCCTCAAGAAATGCATTCCCATGCATCTTCCTTCTTTTAGGTGCCTCAAGAAATGCATTCCCATGCATCTTCCTTCTTTTAGGTGCCTCAAGAAATGCATTCCATGCATCTTCCTTCTTTTAGGTGCCTCAAGAAATGCATTCCCATGCATCTTCCTTCTTTTAGGTGCCTCAAGAAATGCATTCCCATGCATCTTCCTTCTTTTAGGTGCCTCAAGAAATGCATTCCATGCATCTTCCTTCTTTTAGGTGCCTCAAGAAATGCATTCCATGCATCTTCCTTCTTTTAGGTGCCTCAAGAAATGCATTCCCATGCATCTTCCTTCTTTTAGGTGCCTCAAGAAATGCATTCCCATGCATCTTCCTTCTTTTAGGTGCCTCAAGAAATGCATTCCCATGCATCTTCCTTCTTTTAGGTGCCTCAAGAAATGCATTCCCATGCATCTTCCTTCTTTTAGGTGCCTCAAGAAATGCATTCCCATGCATCTTCCTTCTTTTAGGTGCCTCAAGAAATGCATTCCCATGCATCTTCCTTCTTTTAGGTGCCTCAAGAAATGCATTCCATGCATCTTCCTTCTTTTAGGTGCCTCAAGAAATGCATTCCCATGCATCTTCCTTCTTTTAGGTGCCTCAAGAAATGCATTCCATGCATCTTCCTTCTTTTAGGTGCCTCAAGAAATGCATTCCATGCATCTTCCTTCTTTTAGGTGCCTCAAGAAATGCATTCCCATGCATCTTCCTTCTTTTAGGTGCCTCAAGAAATGCATTCCCATGCATCTTCCTTCTTTTAGGTGCCTCAAGAAATGCATTCCCATGCATCTTCCTTCTTTTAGGTGCCTCAAGAAATGCATTCCCATGCATCTTCCTTCTTTTAGGTGCCTCAAGAAATGCATTCCCATGCATCTTCCTTCTTTTAGGTGCCTCAAGAAATGCATTCCATGCATCTTCCTTCTTTTAGGTGCCTCAAGAAATGCATTCCATGCATCTTCCTTCTTTTAGGTGCCTCAAGAAATGCATTCCCATGCATCTTCCTTCTTTTAGGTGCCTCAAGAAATGCATTCCATGCATCTTCCTTCTTTTAGGTGCCTCAAGAAATGCATTCCCATGCATCTTCCTTCTTTTAGGTGCCTCAAGAAATGCATTCCCATGCATCTTCCTTCTTTTAGGTGCCTCAAGAAATGCATTCCATGCATCTTCCTTCTTTTAGGTGCCTCAAGAAATGCATTCCATGCATCTTCCTTCTTTTAGGTGCCTCAAGAAATGCATTCCCATGCATCTTCCTTCTTTTAGGTGCCTCAAGAAATGCATTCCCATGCATCTTCCTTCTTTTAGGTGCCTCAAGAAATGCATTCCATGCATCTTCCTTCTTTTAGGTGCCTCAAGAAATGCATTCCCATGCATCTTCCTTCTTTTAGGTGCCTCAAGAAATGCATTCCCATGCATCTTCCTTCTTTTAGGTGCCTCAAGAAATGCATTCCATGCATCTTCCTTCTTTTAGGTGCCTCAAGAAATGCATTCCATGCATCTTCCTTCTTTTAGGTGCCTCAAGAAATGCATTCCCATGCATCTTCCTTCTTTTAGGTGCCTCAAGAAATGCATTCCCATGCATCTTCCTTCTTTTAGGTGCCTCAAGAAATGCATTCCCATGCATCTTCCTTCTTTTAGGTGCCTCAAGAAATGCATTCCCATGCATCTTCCTTCTTTTAGGTGCCTCAAGAAATGCATTCCCATGCATCTTCCTTCTTTTAGGTGCCTCAAGAAATGCATTCCCATGCATCTTCCTTCTTTTAGGTGCCTCAAGAAATGCATTCCATGCATCTTCCTTCTTTTAGGTGCCTCAAGAAATGCATTCCCATGCATCTTCCTTCTTTTAGGTGCCTCAAGAAATGCATTCCATGCATCTTCCTTCTTTTAGGTGCCTCAAGAAATGCATTCCATGCATCTTCCTTCTTTTAGGTGCCTCAAGAAATGCATTCCCATGCATCTTCCTTCTTTTAGGTGCCTCAAGAAATGCATTCCCATGCATCTTCCTTCTTTTAGGTGCCTCAAGAAATGCATTCCCATGCATCTTCCTTCTTTTAGGTGCCTCAAGAAATGCATTCCATGCATCTTCCTTCTTTTAGGTGCCTCAAGAAATGCATTCCATGCATCTTCCTTCTTTTAGGTGCCTCAAGAAATGCATTCCCATGCATCTTCCTTCTTTTAGGTGCCTCAAGAAATGCATTCCCATGCATCTTCCTTCTTTTAGGTGCCTCAAGAAATGCATTCCCATGCATCTTCCTTCTTTTAGGTGCCTCAAGAAATGCATTCCCATGCATCTTCCTTCTTTTAGGTGCCTCAAGAAATGCATTCCATGCATCTTCCTTCTTTTAGGTGCCTCAAGAAATGCATTCCATGCATCTTCCTTCTTTTAGGTGCCTCAAGAAATGCATTCCCATGCATCTTCCTTCTTTTAGGTGCCTCAAGAAATGCATTCCCATGCATCTTCCTTCTTTTAGGTGCCTCAAGAAATGCATTCCCATGCATCTTCCTTCTTTTAGGTGCCTCAAGAAATGCATTCCCATGCATCTTCCTTCTTTTAGGTGCCTCAAGAAATGCATTCCCATGCATCTTCCTTCTTTTAGGTGCCTCAAGAAATGCATTCCCATGCATCTTCCTTCTTTTAGGTGCCTCAAGAAATGCATTCCCATGCATCTTCCTTCTTTTAGGTGCCTCAAGAAATGCATTCCATGCATCTTCCTTCTTTTAGGTGCCTCAAGAAATGCATTCCCATGCATCTTCCTTCTTTTAGGTGCCTCAAGAAATGCATTCCCATGCATCTTCCTTCTTTTAGGTGCCTCAAGAAATGCATTCCCATGCATCTTCCTTCTTTTAGGTGCCTCAAGAAATGCATTCCCATGCATCTTCCTTCTTTTAGGTGCCTCAAGAAATGCATTCCATGCATCTTCCTTCTTTTAGGTGCCTCAAGAAATGCATTCCATGCATCTTCCTTCTTTTAGGTGCCTCAAGAAATGCATTCCCATGCATCTTCCTTCTTTTAGGTGCCTCAAGAAATGCATTCCCATGCATCTTCCTTCTTTTAGGTGCCTCAAGAAATGCATTCCATGCATCTTCCTTCTTTTAGGTGCCTCAAGAAATGCATTCCCATGCATCTTCCTTCTTTTAGGTGCCTCAAGAAATGCATTCCCATGCATCTTCCTTCTTTTAGGTGCCTCAAGAAATGCATTCCATGCATCTTCCTTCTTTTAGGTGCCTCAAGAAATGCATTCCCATGCATCTTCCTTCTTTTAGGTGCCTCAAGAAATGCATTCCATGCATCTTCCTTCTTTTAGGTGCCTCAAGAAATGCATTCCATGCATCTTCCTTCTTTTAGGTGCCTCAAGAAATGCATTCCCATGCATCTTCCTTCTTTTAGGTGCCTCAAGAAATGCATTCCCATGCATCTTCCTTCTTTTAGGTGCCTCAAGAAATGCATTCCCATGCATCTTCCTTCTTTTAGGTGCCTCAAGAAATGCATTCCCATGCATCTTCCTTCTTTTAGGTGCCTCAAGAAATGCATTCCATGCATCTTCCTTCTTTTAGGTGCCTCAAGAAATGCATTCCCATGCATCTTCCTTCTTTTAGGTGCCTCAAGAAATGCATTCCCATGCATCTTCCTTCTTTTAGGTGCCTCAAGAAATGCATTCCCATGCATCTTCCTTCTTTTAGGTGCCTCAAGAAATGCATTCCCATGCATCTTCCTTCTTTTAGGTGCCTCAAGAAATGCATTCCCATGCATCTTCCTTCTTTTAGGTGCCTCAAGAAATGCATTCCATGCATCTTCCTTCTTTTAGGTGCCTCAAGAAATGCATTCCATGCATCTTCCTTCTTTTAGGTGCCTCAAGAAATGCATTCCCATGCATCTTCCTTCTTTTAGGTGCCTCAAGAAATGCATTCCCATGCATCTTCCTTCTTTTAGGTGCCTCAAGAAATGCATTCCATGCATCTTCCTTCTTTTAGGTGCCTCAAGAAATGCATTCCCATGCATCTTCCTTCTTTTAGGTGCCTCAAGAAATGCATTCCCATGCATCTTCCTTCTTTTAGGTGCCTCAAGAAATGCATTCCATGCATCTTCCTTCTTTTAGGTGCCTCAAGAAATGCATTCCCATGCATCTTCCTTCTTTTAGGTGCCTCAAGAAATGCATTCCCATGCATCTTCCTTCTTTTAGGTGCCTCAAGAAATGCATTCCCATGCATCTTCCTTCTTTTAGGTGCCTCAAGAAATGCATTCCCATGCATCTTCCTTCTTTTAGGTGCCTCAAGAAATGCATTCCATGCATCTTCCTTCTTTTAGGTGCCTCAAGAAATGCATTCCCATGCATCTTCTCCGCTTCCTCTTATCTCTCCTTCTTACTTCCTCGTTCTGTCCGTCCGTTATCAGGACTCGTCTGTTGGAGAATCTATCGAAGCTGCAGCACGCACCCAGTGTGCCCTTCCACACGCGTGCCCCCGATACACAACTCCCCAATGAGGTGAGCTGCACTTTCTTAGATGGCTCAGACTACCCGTACTCAAGCAGGGTATTTGCAGCATGCTCCCTCCCAGTGTGCCCTTCCATGCCTGAGCCCCCGACTCACAACACAACTGCCCGACGAGGTTAGTCACATACTCTCTAACAAGTCTTAAGAACCATGACATGCTAGAACGTGACTTTTGAGACGTCTCAAAAGTCTTTTGAGACGTCTCAAAAGTAAGTCTTAAGAACCATGACATGCTAGAACGTGACTTTGTGACTACTGCTTCAGCAGCAGCAGTTGCCAGCAGTGAAAAAGACGGGAAGAGCGGGCTTGAATACCATACTCTTCTACACCTGCTTCCGTCCCATCTTCCCCCCTCTCTCCTCACTCACCATCACCACACCAACCCCCATCACACAGGAGGAGGAGGAGCCTGACACTCGGCCAGAGGACAGGGAGGCGGATGGGGATGCGCCTTCCGTGCTGGAAGGACCAGCAACAGCAACTGTGAAGGAGGAGGGGAAGAGCGGGGGAGGCAAGGGCGCAGCAGCAGCTGGAGAAGGAATAGGTGGGGCAGGCGGAGCAGGAGGAGGGGCAGGAGGGGGTGGGGGTGGAGGGGCCGTGACAGGGGAGGGGAAGAAGCGACCTCTACCAGAGGCTTCAGGGTGAGTGCTGTGTGGGATGAGGTGAAGTGCGCTCTTTTTGGGGGTACTCTTGCTTGCCCTGCACTTCAGAAGGTCAGGGGAAGAAGCGACCTCTACCCGAGGCTTCAGGGTGAGTGCTTTGTGAGGTTAGCGTGAGTGCCCTGCTTGAGGACGTGGGAGTCAAGGAGGAAGAGAAATAACCTCTAAGGGGCAGGTAGCAGCAGGCGGGGCTGGGGGGGGAGGAGCGGTGACAGGGGAGGGGAAAAAGCGACCTCTACCTGAGGCTTCAGGGTGAGTGCAATGCTGGGTGTGGTTGAGTACGCTGCTTGTAGAGATGCAGGGTTGGTAGGGATGCAGGGGCTGGCAAGAACCGTCCTTCCAGTCCCCACCCCCACTGCACACAAGCTTGTCAAGCCCAGGGTGGACACATCACTCAAAGCAGAACCGTCCTTCCAGTCCCTCTTATGTTCTCCCCTCTCTGCTCTCCCCTCTCTCCTCTCCCCTCTCTGCTCTCCCATCCAGTCGCCTCCCCCCTGCTCGCCCACCCGTCAAGCCCAAGGTGGAGGCATCACTTAAAGCAGAACCTGCTGCATCACTCCCTGTTCGTCCCTTACTTAACAAACCCCCGTCTCCCTTCCCCCCACTCTCCCCTCCAGTCGCCCCCCCACTGCGCGCTCACCCGTCAATCCCAAGGTGGAGGCACCACTTAAAGCCGAGCCTGCTGCATCACTCCCTGTTCGTCCCTTAATACTCAAGAAGCCCCCTCCCTCCCCCTTTCCCTTCCCCTCTCCCCACTGCAGTCGCCCCCCCCCTGCTCGCCCGCCCGTCAAGCCCAAGGTGGAGGCGTCACTCAAAGCCGAGCCTGCCTCCACACCATCTCGACCTGCCGTACCTGCTGACAAGGTATGTCCTGCTGAGCCTACTGACAAGGTTTGTCCTGCCAAGCCTGCTGACAAAGTATCTCCCAGCCTTTTTCTTGCCCAGAGGCTTGGTATGTTCTCCCTAGGCAGCAGTTGAGTTATATTTTACCATTGCCTCCCGATCAGGTGCAGACTCTTGGGATGGTTAGATTTTGGACCCGCCCTGATTTTTTTTGGCGCCTGAATGGACATATCGAGGCAATTTGATGTTTGCATTCAGAATATGGTTGTCTCATTCATTAACAATCATATGCTGCAATTGCATTGCTGCTTCTGCTTGCTCACCAGACCATCATGTGTGTTTCGTGCTATTCCACCAGTCATTCACCAAACCTTCCCATTCCCCCAATTATCCCCCCTCCCCCTTGCCCCCTTGTTTCCAATCTCGCAGAAGGAAGATTTGATTCACGGCAGCTCCCCGTCCACTCGTGGACTGACACCTGGCGAGGCAGCTGCAGGGGAGAAGGGGAGTGAGAGAGGGAGTGAGAAGGGGTCTGGCAGCGGCTTATCCCGCAAGGCGTCTCCATACAGACAAGGGAGCCTTGGTGGTGACTAACGCTTGAGACGATTCCAAGTCACCTTGGAGTTGACTCAGATGTCACTTTTGAGTTGACCTAAGACAGGTGGTCTGGTCGTGGCTTATCCTGCAAGGCGTCTCCATACAGACAAGGGAGGGAGCCTTGGTGACTAACACTTCGAGCAAATTCAACGTCACCTTGAAGTTTTACTCGAAAGTCTTTTTTATTGACCAGTGGTCGGGTAGTGGCTTATCCCGCAAGGCGTTTCAAGACAGACAAGGGAGTCTTGCCTTGTGACTAACGCATTGATGTCCATACTGGTACTGTAGTTGGTCATTCCTTTTTCGTGTCAAAACTAAAAATTCTATACACTGGCAACTGAGGGTTTATGTTGATGAACTGTTGCGCCTGTTGGACAGTTTGTTCCCCGGGTGATGAGGGTTCACCACTTCACCACCCAGAAGTTCAAAACATTTTATAGGTTTAACGCATTCGATTCAGACGTGCGCCTGTAACTCAGTGGATAGAGTGTTCGCTTCCTAAGCGAAAAGTCCTAGGTTCGACCCCTAGCTGGCGCGATTTTGAAGAGCTGGAAGGTGTTAGCCAATATTTTAGGTTTGGCTCGATCCATCACTTTCTTTGTTACCTTTCTGGCCATCCATAAAAACATGGCACTCATAATCAACGGCTGACCAGTGACCACACTGCGTCCCATATGGGATTCTCTAGTGATGTTATGCAGTCCCTTCCAGCTCAACTGAGCCTTGATTGTGCATCAAACTAGAATACTGTATGCATGGATGATAAAGCCAAACCAGGATACGGTAGCACAGCATCGGAATGTGAATACGGTAGTAACATGCAACTCAGGGAATAGAGTTCTTGCGTTTGTGAGCAGTGCAGCTTCCAGGTCTGGACTGGACTGCAATGCACGCCCCCCATGGCAGTCTGTTACATTTATAACCACCCACTTGGTGTTACGGTGTAGTTCATACCACCATACGCATTCCAGTAGGGATTAGTGACAATGCTAGGATACATTCCTAATCCATGCTAGCCTAGCTCGAGTTTTGCCTGTCCAGACATGCATACAACACAACTTGCCACCTCACTTTCTCCAAAACATGTACCGTATTTCTACACTACACATTCTACGATTTTTCGATTTTCCCGAATCATAAGGGGGATTTCCCCAGAAATGTCACACATTGGTCCAATCACGCACCACTAGCCGCTTCCCCCGGTGGATTGCCAGCCGCACGCGAGGAAGCTTCTTGCGGATTTCCCTCCACACCATGCTGACCGCGTCACCTGGTTGCGATGGGTACTGTGGTATGAGGGGGAGGGGGGGGAGGAGGGAAGAGCAAAGGGTTGGGAAACGCGTGTGTCGAATAATGGGAAGGGTTGAGCTATGTACCATGCTGACCGCGTCACCTGGTTGCGATGGGTACTGTGGTATGAGGGGGAGGGGGAGGGGGAGAAGGAGGGGAAGGGGGGGAAAGGGGGGAAGGAGGGGAAGGAGGGGAAGGGGGGAAGGGGGGGAAGAGAGAAGGGTTGGGAAACTCGCTTTTTGGATAATGGGAACAGGGTGAGGGCTGAGCCTCTGTACCATGCTGAGTGCGTCACCTGGTTGTGATGGGAATAATGAGGAAAGAGGGGAGAGGAGAGAAGGGAGAGGAGGGTCATAGCCTACCGCCTACCAGCCTAACCACCTGGACCTCGTGTGCACTGAGGTGTATTTTGAGGTGTATTTTGAGGCGCCTCAAAATACACCTCGATGCACGGGAGAGGAGAGGAGGGTTGTAGCCTACCAGCCTACCCACCTGGAACGCAAAGTGGTGCTTCACGTGCTGCAGGCTCTGCCACATGCGCAGCCACCTCTCCCTGGGGAATGAGCAAGCAATCCCACTGGAGGGAAACCAGCCTCCCAGCTTACCAACTCCCCAGCCTTCCAGCACACACAGGATAGCCTCCACTCAAAACCCCACCTGGAACTCAAAGTGGTGCTTCACGCGCTGCAGGTTCTGCCACATGCGCAGCCACTGCTCCCTGGGGAATGAGCAAACACGCCCACCAGACAGAGGGATACCAGCCTACCAGCCTACCGAAACACACCAGAGGGAGAATTAGAAGCCTTCACGCGATCCAAGGGTCGCTTGAAAACACACCTGGAATTCAAAGTGGTGCTTCACTTGCTGCAGTGTCTGCCACATCTGCAGCCACCTCTCCCTGGGGAATGTGCGCAGCAGGCGCAGCAGGTAGCCCTGGCGCAGGGCGTCCTGGGGGAGGTAAGTTAAGGGCGGGGGGAGAGGGGGAAAGATAACAGGGGAAGATGGCTCATTGAATGTGTGCAGCAGGCGCAGCAGGTAGCCCTGGCGCAGGGCATCCTGAGGAAGTGGGGGGAGGGGGGAGGTAGGCGGAGAAAGGGAGTGAAGGGGCACGGAGGTAAGTATCAGGGGAAGGGCTAGCCCATGGAATGTGTGCAACAGGTAAAGAGGGACATTCCCAAGTCACAAAGAGAGACTCACCTTATGAGAGACGAACAGCGTGAAATCCAAGCAATCGATCGAAGTTTCGAAGGGCAGCTGAATCTTGTTGCTGATGACCACCGGCATGCAGTGGCTGGTAATAGGGCTCACTGATGGGGCTCACTGATGGAGCTCACTGATGGGGCTCACTGATGGGGCTCACCGATGGGGCTCACTGATGGGGCTCACTGATGGGGCTCACTGATGGGGCTCACTGATGGGGCTCACCGATGGGGCTCTCCTCTAGAGACACTCCCAATTCACATAGAGAGCTCACCTCATGGGAGACAAAGAGAGTGAAGTGGGAGTAGTCTATAGACGTCTCAAAGGGCAGCTTGATCCTGTTGCTGATGACCACCGGCACGCAGTGAGTGGCTGGTGATGGGACAGGCAATGCCACCCAATGGCACTCTCCTCTAGACACATGCAGAAGACTCACCTCATGGGAGACGAAGAGAGTGAAGTGGGAGTAGTCTATCGATGTCTCGAAAGGCAGCTCGATCTTGTTGCTGATGACCACCGGCACGCAGTGGCTGGTAGTGACACTCATTTCTCAAGAGATACCCCCCAAGTCACATAGAGAGACCTCACCTCATGAGAGACGAAGAGCGTGAAGTCGGAGTAGTCAATCGAGGTCTCAAAAGGCAGCTCGATCTTGTTGCTGATGACCACAGGCACACAGTGAGTGGCTGGTGATGGGACTCTCCTCTGGACTCCAGAGAGTACCCAAAACCCTAAACCCTAGTCCCATAGAGAGAGAGAGAGAGAGAGAGAGAGAGAGAGAGAGAGAGAGAGAGAGAGAGAGAGAGAGAGAGAGAGAGAGAGAGAGAGCTCACCTCATGGGAGACGAAGACAGTGAAGTCGGAGTAGTCTATTAATGTTTCAAAAGGCAGCTCGATTTTGTTGCTGATCACAACGGGCACGCAGCGGCTGGTGATGGGACTCTCCTCTGTCACCTCTACACGAGATGTCTCACTCAGAAAACAGCTAGGTCTGAGGCACTCACCTCGTGGGAGACAAAGACAGTGAAGTCGGAGTAATCTATTCATGTTTCAAAAGGCAGCTCGATTTTGTTGCTGATCACAACGGGCACGCAGCGGCTGGTGATGGGACTCTCCTTTGTCACCTCTACACAAGATGTCTCACTCAGAAAACAGCTAGGTCTGAGGCAAGAGACTCACCTCGTGGGAGACAAAGACAGTGAAGTAGGAGTAATCTATTCATGTTTCAAAAGGCAACTCGATTTTGTTGCTGATGACCACTGGCACGCAGTGAGTGGCTGGCGATGGGACTCTCACCTTTAGAGAGACATTCCCAAGTCACATAGAGAGATGGCTCACCTCATGGGAGACAAACAGCGTGAAGTCGGAGTAGTCTATTGATGTTTCAAAAGGCAGCTCGATCTTGTTGCTGATCACAACGGGCACGCAGTGGCTGGTGATGGCGTCAAAGAGTCGGGCGGATGAAGGGGTGTCTCCTGCCGCGTTCAGGCAGAAGCGCGAATTCCTCAGCCCTTCTGCTGCCTGTTGGGTGGGAAGGGAGAGGGAAGGAGGGAGAGAGGGAGTGACCATCGGCACACATTGGCTGGCGATGGCGTCAAAGAGGCGGGCGGACGAAGGGGTGACTCCCGCCGCGTTCAGACAGAAGCGCGAATTCCGCAGCCCCTCTGCTGCCTGTGAGGGTTGAGAGAGGGGAGGAAGGAGGAACGCAGTGGAGGGAAGGACAAGGAGGGGAGGGAGTGAGCACGGGCACGCAGTGGCTGGCGATGGGCTCAAACAGGCGGGCGGACGAAGAGGCACTGTACCGTAACACACTGTTCTGTACCGTACCGCACGGCACCGTACCGAGATGATGTCTTGCGGGCCGGTGATCTTGCTCTCCACGAACCTCACATCCGGCTCCTTGTGATACATGTCAAAGATGAGCTTGCTCCTCAGACGAGCCCCATAGCATAGCATACTGTACAGAACCACACCACACTGTATCACACCGCACCGTACCATACCATACCATATATTTCACCCACCGAGATGATGTCTTGAGGGCCAGTGATATTGCTCTCCACGAATTTCACATCCGGCTCCTTGTGATACATGTCAAAGATGAGCTTGCTCCTCCTGGTCAAGAACCGTACCATACCAGACTGTACTGTACCCTACTGTACAAAACCACACCGTACCGCATCATACCACGACGTACCATACCGTATATTTCACCCACCGAGATAATGTCTTGAGGCCCGGTGATCTTGCTCTCCACGAACCTCACATCCGGCTCCTTGTGATACATGTCAAAGATGAGCTTCCCCTTCCTGATCGAGCCCCATAACATAACATGCCGTACCGTACCGTACCTCACTGAACCGCACGGTACCACACTGTACCGCACTGTACCACACCATACAGCAGCCATACCGAGATGATGTCTTGCGGCCCGGTGATCTTGCTCTCCACGAATCTCACATCCGGCTCCTTGTGGTACATGGCAAAGATGAGCTTGCTCCTCCTGGTCGAAGCTTACAACCTAGCATAACACACCATACTACACCGCACCGTTCTGTACCGCACTGTACCACACCATACAGAGGCCATACCGAGATAATATCTTGTGGCCCGGTGATCTTGCTCTCCACGAATCGGACATCGGGCTCCTTGTGATACATGTCAAAGATGAGCTTGCGAATGTACCCTTCCTGCTTGTGCCATGCCATGCCATGCCAGGAAGAAATGCAACACACCGTGCCATGCCGTGAAAACAAAAGCAGCACATGCCATGTCATGCCGTAGCATACCACCATGCCATGCCATGAGAATCCACAGCACACCATGTCATGCCATGATCCATTGCCATTCCCAAACATGAAAGCAGGTGAGACAACCAAGGAGGATAAGGATGTCAAACTTAATGCACGAAGTGATGTTATCCATTGTTGACCCATTTTCACCCAATGTGACCCATTTTCACCCAATGTGACCCATTTTCACCCAATGTGACCCATTTTCACCCAATGTGACCCATTTTCACCCAATGTGACCCATTTTCACCCAATGTGACCCATTTTCACCCAATGTGACCCATTTTCACCCAATGTGACCCATTTTCACCCAATGTGACCCATTTTCACCCAATGTTCCTTATCATGCCAAGGACAAACTCTTGTGATTCTGCAATCAGTTACACTCCCACCCAACCATCCTCCCATGCCACTCACATCCTTCCGCATGATGGTCCCTTGGAAGAACAGCAGCGTGGCTCTGGTCTCCCAGGGCCCCTGCGCCTCCCCATAGCTCGCAGTCTCTTCCTATGCCCCATCAATACCCCCCCATATGACATGCTCCCTCTGAACCCCTCCACTCACATCCTTCCTCATAATCGTCCCTTGGAAGAACAGCAGCGTGGTTTGTGCCTCCCAGGGCCCCTGCGCCTCCCCATAGCTCGCCGGCTCTCCCTGCGCAAACTCCCTAAGTCATCAGCATTCACTCTTTCAAATTGCCCACTCTCTCACCCCCATGTCACGCTGACATCCTTCCACATGATGGTCCCTTGGAAGAACAGCAGCATCGTTCGTGCCTCCCACGGCCCCTGCGCCTCCCCGTAGCTAGCCGGCTCTCCCTATGCCACTCCCTTTTCCCATCCACACACCCCCATTTCACACCCACCCTCCCCTGTCACTCACATCCTTCCGCATGATGGTCCCTTGGAAGAACAGCAGCGTCGTTCGTGCCTCCCACGGCCCCTGCGCCTCCCCGTAGCTCGGCGGCTCAGTGTAAGGCGGCGCTATGTGGTTGTATGGGACCACTATGTCCTTGCTCAAACGGGCCACGCCTTGGGCATACCTGGTGTGTGGGGAGCAGGAAGGCAAGAGGCAAGGAGAGGGGGTTTCAGGCTCTGTGTAAGGCGGCGCCATGTGGTTGTACGGGACCACTATGTCCTTGCTCAAACGGGCTACACCTTGAGCGTATCTGGTAGGTGGTGGACAGAACAGAACCAAGGGAAGAAAGGCAAGAGGGTTCCAAACTCTGTGTAAGGCGGTGCTATGTGGTTGTATGGCACCATGTGCTTGTATGGCACCATGTGCTTGTATGGAACGACTATTGTCCTTACTCAGGCGTGCCACAACCTGGTACGTACCGGCCGAAGACGAGCAGCAGGAGCATGGCCAGGGCGAGGCGCTGGTGAATTCGGCGCCACAAGAGTGCAGACCCAATCAAGACTACTTATGGTTAAAATTTCAAAACAGCGATCAAATTAACGTACCGGCCGAAGACCAGCAGCAGGAGCATGGGCAGGGCGGGGCGAGGCGCTGGTGAATATGGCGCCACAAGCATGCAGACTCAGAGTGACATATGACTCACAGTCAACAGAGCAGACCAATAAAGTCAAACGCACTGGCCAAAGTCGAGCAGCAGGAACATGGCTGGGGCGGGGCGAGGCGCTGGTGAATATGGCGCCACAAGAGTGCAGACTCGGAGTGACGTATGACTCAGACCAAGTCATCTAAGGGAGGGGACTGACCGGCCGAAGTCGAGCAGGAGGAACATGGCTGGGGCGGGGCGAGGTGCTGGCGAATGTGGCAGCTCAAAGACGCAGACTCAAAGTAACTCCTGACTAGACCAAGAAGTCTAAGGGGACTGACCGGCCAAAGTCGAGCAGCAGGAACATGGCTGGGGCGAGACGCTGGCGAATGTGGCGAAGGGCGTTGGGCTGCAGCATGGGGATGATGTGATCCCTGCCTCCTGACCGCTGCCACCAGGGCGACACCTTTAACACGCTCCACAGCTCCTCCTGTCAAACCCACACAGACAACAACACAGCAGGAAAAGTAAGACAGGGATGTATGCTAACGTTGGGTTGCGTTGGGCGTTGGGCTGCAGCATGGCATGATGTGATCCCTGCCTCCTGACCGCTGCCACCAGGGGGATTCCTTCAGCACGCCCCACAGCTCCTCCTGTGTAGTGAGGGAAGAAGAGCAGATGTTAGACAGTCATATGGGGACGTGTATGACAGCGGTGGCGAAGGGCGTTGGGCTGCAGCATGGGGATGATGTGGTCCCTGCCTCCTGACCGCTGCCACCAGGGGGACTCCTTCAGCACGCCCCATAGCTCTTCTTGTGAGGGAAGAAGAGCAGAGCACCAAGAGAGGAGTGACGGTGAGATGGGGATGTACTGTGTGTGTGTATGACAGCAGCAGCAGCGTTGGGCTTCCTGAAGCATGGGGACGATGATGTGGTCCCTGCCGCCCGCCCGACCACTGCCACCACGGAGATCCCCCTTGTCCTTTTCCGCCAGTGCCCCTCGCATGCCATTGGTGGTGAAGATGTTGAAGCTGAGCGACGCCAGGAAGGGCACGAAGAAGCCGAGAAACCCCGTGCCAGCAGACAGACAATAGTCAAGACTGGGATTACTTTTGACTCAACTCAAGACTGGGGCGAGTTGAGCCCAGCCCACCTGGAGATTCGTGCTCAGCCCAGCTTCCCTGGAGAATTTTGTCCTTTTCTGCGAGCGCCCCTCGCATGCCATTGGTGGTGAAGATATTGAAGCTGAGACTGAGGGAATCGAATACAGCCGCAGGGGGATACTGAGTCCAGCCGAACACACCTAGCGAACCTTCCCCAACGCACCTGGAGAATCTTGTCCTTTTCTGCGAGCGCCCCTCGCATGCCATTGGTGGTGAAGATGTTGAAGCTGAGCGAAGCGAGGAAGGGCACGAAGAACACATCCGCTGCAGCGGGATCCGTTACTCTTATAATGTCGCCGTTGCTCCTGCTGCTGTCGCTGTGGTTGTTCGCCTGCTCAGGAAGATGCGCGGGGAGGAAGAGGGGAAGCGCAGGAAAGCACAGGGAGGCAACGGGGAAGCACAAGGCGCACATGTGGGGTTAGCAGGGGGAAAGAACACGTCCGCTGCAGCGGGATCCGTTACTCTTATAATGTCGCCGTTGCTGCTGCTGCTGTCGCTGTGATTGTTCGCCTGAACAGGCGGAGGCACGGGGAAGCACAGGGCGCGCATGTGGGGTTGGCAGGGGGGAGGAAATCATCCGCTGCAGCGGGATCCGTCACTCTTATAAGGCCGCGGTGTTCGAACGCAGGGGAAGCAGGGGAGGAGGTGTGGAGTGGGGGGGAGGGAGGAGAACTCGCCGCTGTGTTCGAACGCAGGGGGAGCGCTAGGGAAGGTGTGTGGAAGGGGGGGGAGGGCGGGGGAATAGAAGGGCGGGGGAACAAATCACGGTGTATGCTCACCAGTAGGTTATAAACGATGAAGAATTTGCCACTGTGTTCGAACGCAGGGGAAGCAGGGGAGGAGGTGTGGAGTGGGGGGGAGGGAGGAGAGTGCAGCGAGGGGAAAGAACACGGGAGTGCATTCTCACCAGTAGGTTATAAACGATGAAGAACTCGCTGCGATGTTCGAACATACGGGGAGAAGGGGAGAAGGTGTGGGGGGAGTGGGGCAAGGGGGGGAAGGGCGCGGGAACAAATCACAGTGCATGCTCACCAGTAGGTTGTAGACGATGAAATATTCGCCGCTGTGTTCGAAGCCAGGGGAAACGGTGGAGGGTGTGTGGGGGAGAAGGCGGAAGGGGAGGGCGGAAGAAAACCTCAGTGTATTCTCACCAGTAGGTTGTAGACGATGCAACATCCGCCGCTGTGTTCGAAGCCACATTGAGTCGACTCAAAAGTCACCTCAGTGTATACTCAACAGTAGGTTGTAAACGATGGAGAACTCGCCGCTGTGTTCGAAGCCAGGGGAAACGGTGGAGGGGGTGAGGGGGAGAAGGCGGAAGCGGAGGGCAGAAGAATGCCGCAGTGTACACTCACCAGAAGGTTGTAGACGATGAAATATTCGCCGCTGTGTTCGAACATAAGGGGGGCGGGGAAGAAGGTTGGGAGAGGGGGGAGGGGGAAGGGGAAGGGCGGGGGAACAAATCACAGTGTATTCTCACCAGTAGGTTATAAACGATGAAATATTCGCCGCTGTGTTCGAAGCCTCGTCCGGACACCCCTCCGTTCGCCTTCCTCTGATACCGCAGCTGAGGAGCCTCATCCGCGCTAAAAGACAGGCTCTCCAGCTCCTTATGTCGAAACAGCCCGAAGTTGAACTTCTGATGCAGATCATACACATACACCTTCAACGGCCCCTCTCCGCATATTCTCCTGTCGGACACCAGATTCTCCGCCACTGGAACATTCGATTGTAGAACATTCACGTTCCCCTCCCGGAGATTCGTGTTTCCGGATAAAGACGAAGCTGATGATAGGGACCTCCGGTCAGATGCTACCTCTTTCCTGGTTCCATCCTCCATGGGTTCCCTCTTTATGGTTGTCTCATCATCCTCAGCCTCCATCTCGACCACATCGATCCCATGAAGCAGCCTCTGCGTTGGATCTTGCGCATTCCCAGAAATCAACGGCTGCGGATCTTCAGATTTTCCTGTGATTCGCGGCTTTGGATCCTGGGAGTTTTCAGAAGTAAACTGCTGTGAAAACTCCTCCTGCGTCCGCACATTGCTTGCTGAACGCAGATCCGATCGCAGAAAAGCATCCCCGCTTGAAGCTGACACGCTACTGCGTTGCAAGCCCTCCGGTCGCGCCTGAAGTCTCACATCTTGTAACGAAGGACTCACTATCGGATTGACGTCGAGCGTGGCGGTATCCGGGATCTCGTAACCGATCTCGCTACTTTGGAGCGAATTTGATAATAGCGAGAGGACGGATGTGAAGGAGATGACAAAGGCGGTGCTCCAAAGACCGCTGCGCACCAAACCCCTCATTGAAAACTTTCTTGATTTCTCGCAAATATAAAGTAAACTAAACGCAAAAAAAAGTCGAGAAATGTACTGTTCTGTGCTCTGAGCTACAGGTGGAATGCACAGCCAATGTTAGTCTCTCTTAGAGTCTCTATGGATGAATAGAGGCAATCACCTTTCAATTTTTCCCGTGCAAGCTTGGAGTGTAGACTGAATCAGCAAGGTTCACAACAACCCTAACGTCGATAACGTCGGTAGCCGCAACCGCGTTGCGTTATGTACATTAGGCACGGAGCTCATGCGCAAGAGAAGACTATATCCGTCTTTAGATGCTGATGCTTGGAAGCACCCTTGACCAAATACTAGCGACAGAGCACGATTCGAACTCGACCATGCCTGGATGATTTGACGCAACGACACGACGACTGACGGAACACGAGGAGGACAAACGGATCACCCCACCAGAAAGAACCTTACTGATGTATCCCCTGCAATCGTGCAGGCATTACGCAGACACACGCGAACGAGCAGATTAGCTATAGCCAGAACTGACACTGGATGACCAAGGACTCTGCAGAAGTACAGCAGGATTTCTGAAAAGACCAGCGCGATTCATCCCTGGCTTGGTCGGTCATCCTGCCATTGTCTGACAAAACACTGATACGACAGCAGCCTATAGGCACGTGGAGGGAACTTGCTTTGGGGTTGGCACAATAGCCTGGTTTCCCTTACAATCTTTCTAAACCTCTCTATATCTAACCAGATGAAACCACTGAAGCTATGGTCCCTTGGATGATCAATCGCGAGGCTGTGGGAGAGGGAGAGTCAATGGGTGAGGTAAGGGAGAGGGAGAAAAGCTGAGGGGAGAAAGGCAAAGGGGTCTGGCGTGTTTCGCATCGGTCTCCTCTGGTTTAGTCGGGTTTTAGAGGACAGATGAAGGCGCGCCCAGCCCGCACGGAGCCGCGCCCAGCCAGCGTTTGACTGTGTGATGTTCCAGGGCCCACCCGGTCTGGGACCTACACGAAGCTAGCGGAAGAAGCGTAGGTTCTGTCTTCCCCACCACCAGGCTTCGAATGTCTGGGAGCCTGACTCCTGGTTCGGATCCAATCACAGAAACGCAAATTTAAGAACCAAGAATCGTCGAGCCGGTTTCAGCAAGCACATGTGGCGGGAAAATGGTTGTGTGGGGAGTTCGTCTGACAAGCTGTAGCAGTGTCACTCTGACACCGTGGGAAACGAAACAAGATTACATCCTGTACCCTGGCTCCCAGACATGCTTGCTCGAAACTGTGCGAAATGCGCACGAGCTCCACTCTGATTATGCGAAGAAACGTTTCCTCACATCATCGCAGATTGAAATCTGCAATCTCCGCACCTCCTTGACCACACCACAGTGACGGCTGAAAGCCGAACCACACAACCTCCCTAACCTCGTGCTGGTCCCATCGGGGGCCGCCGAGAGGTCAAGAAGGCGGCGCCAAAAGTACGCACTCGATTCGAAGCAGTCCATCTCTCTAGTTACAGAAGTCAAAGAACTAAATGTAGACAAGTTGCAACAGCATGTAGGTTCCCAAGCATAAGTTCCAGAGTATAAAACCAAACCAGCACCATCCCAGTGAACGAAATCACCCAGTGCATACCCGAATCTACTCATCCCCATCCTTTCCTGCATCATCTCCCTTCCTCTCAGGGCTCCTTTCCCCATCTGCATCCTGCATCGGAGACCTCTTAGGCGAACCACCATCACGAGGACTAGCACTTCTCTTGGCAGGGCTAGCACTCCTGACGGGGCTAGCACTCCTCCTGGCAGGGCTCTTACTCCTGCTCTTGCTCCTCTCCTTACTCGCACTCCTGCTCCGCCTCGGGCTCTTCTCTTCCTTCTCAGCACTAGGGCTCCGGCTGTTCCTCCTCTCCTTGCTCGTGCTCCTGCTGCGGCTGCGGCTGCGCGAGGGGCTGCGGCTTCCGGCCTTCTTGCCATTCTCCCGATCCTTGCCGCGCTCGTTGCTCCTGCTCCTGCTGCGGTCCTTTGCGCGGTCGTTGCTGCGGCTACGGCTGCGGCTCCTGCTCCGGCTGCGGCTCTTGCTGCGCTCGTCCCTGTCCTTGCTGTTGCTGCGGCTGCGCCGGTCACGCCCGCGACGAGGGCTGGTTGGAGGAGCAAAGATAAGGATAAAAAACAAACACGAAGATATTGTTTACAGGAGGGAGACAGCAGGGACGGGAATATAAATACATTGCACAAGCGAGAAATGATGCATCCGAGCGAAAAGGCCAATCGTGCTTCAAGGAGATCCAGGGGAACAAGCAGTAGGTTTGGGAACAAGCACTAGGTTTGGGAACAAGCAGTAGGTTTGGGAAAAAACGAAACCATATATGAAAAAAAAACATAGAGCGAGCAATAGATGAAAAGCGTGATACCTGCGTGAGCGGCTGCGGCTGCGAGACCGATACCTGCATCGGGTTCACAGAACAGAAAGCAATTCAAAGTGTGCTTTTGAGAATTCTCAAACAGACCAATACCTGCACCAGGTTCAACAGAGCGTAATCCAAGAGAATCACAGGGTAGACATACTAAGAGGTGGAACCAGTCAAAGGCAGGGAGGAGGAAAAACTCACCTCCCCGACAAAAATGTTCCTGCACTCCCTTTCGATGTGCCTGGGCACCCTACACCGGCAGCATTTGCCGCCCCAATCACCCTTGAAAAGGTGCTGACAACTTTAACAGGAAATATATACAGAACACGCATCTCTGAGCCGGGCTGTTCCGGCAGTCCCTCTCGATATGCCCACGCTCGCCACATCTGTAGCAATTGCCGCAATCGCCGTTGCGACAGTTTCTCGCAACCTTGATTCAAAGTCAACGCACCTCTGAGCCGGGCTGTTCCGGCAGTCCCTCTCGATGTGTCCGCGCTCACCACACCGGTAGCACTTGCCGCCCCAGTCACCGTTGTGGCAGTCGGGCGCCCAGTGGCCGTCCTTGCCGCAGAATGCCCCATTCACCTCTTTATTTCTCTCCCAAACCCTGCTCTGAGACATGTCAAAACTCTCACCTCTGAGCCGGGCTGTTCCTGCAGTCCCTCTCAATGTGCCCGCGCTCGCCGCACCAGTAGCACTTGCTGCCCCAGTCACCATTGCAGCAGTCCCTCACAGCTCTATCAGCTGAGACACCCAGCCCAACACACACCCAGCGCACCTCTGAGCCGGGCTGTTCCTGCAGTCCCTCTCAATATGTCCGCGCTCGCCACATCTGTAGCACTTGCCACCCCAATCGCCGTTGCGGCAGTCGCGCGCCCAGTGGCCGTCCTTGCCGCAGTTGTAGCAGCGCCCCTGCGTGACGCCCATCCCCCCCCCCATGCGCGGACCCCCCCCAGGCGGACCCCCAAAGCCCTGCCCGCGCGGCCCCTGATGGGGTAGAGGAGGAAGGGAAGGGGGGCAGAGAGAGGATGGGGAAGGAGGGGAAGGGAGCGAGGGATGGGTTAAGGAAAGGGGACAGTACGGAGGGGGGAAGGGCGGAGGAGGGAGAAGGGGTGCAGTGGGCAGTCGCGCGCCCAGTGGCCGTCCTTGCCGCAGTTGTAGCAGCGCCCCTGCGTGATGCCCATCCCCCCCCCTTGCGCGGTCCACCCCCAGGCGGCCCCCCGAAGCCCTGCCCGCGCGGCCCCTGGCAGGGTGGAAACGGGCAGGGAGGAAATGGGCAGGGAAGAAACGGGCAGGGAAGAAACGGGCAGGGAAGAAACGGACAGGAGGGGAGGGGGGGTGGGAAAGGGACGGGTCGGCAAAGGCGACGGTCGATGGGGAAGGGAGGGAGAACGGGCGGAGGGGAGAGAAGGGGCGCAGTGGGTAGTCGCGCGCCCAGTGGCCGTCCTTGCCGCAGTTGTAGCAGCGCCCCTGCGTGATGCGCATCCCCCCCATGCGCGGACCCCCCCCAGGCGGACCCCCGAAGCCCTGCCTGCGGGGACCCTGATGGCGTGGGGAAGGCCTACACATGTATATACATTATATATTCGTGTATTTTGTATATATGTGTGTATACATTACAAAATGCAACGCACCCTGGGAGTGAACTCCACGACGATGTGGCTGCCGTCCACGTCCTTGCCGTTCAGATGATCAGTGAGGCACAGCCCCACAAAGAACCCCACATGGCATCTACAGCCACACAAAGAACCCCACATGGCATCTACAGGCAGGAAGGTAACGCACCCTGCGTGTGAACTCCACGACGATGTGACTGCCATCCACGTCCTTGCCGTTCAGATAATGCGCCGCGTCTTCCGCGTCCCTGTTATCGCTAAATTCCTGTACGGAAGAGAACCAGCACAAGGGGGACGAATAGGTGGGGGGTGGGAAGGGGGGAGGATGGCGGCAAGGGGGAGAAGGTGGGGAAAATGTATATATATCCACGAATGCACTGTGTCTTTCGCGTCCTGAGAGTCGCTGAATTCCTGGACGGAAGAGAACCAGCACAACGCTGAGAGAAACAGTGGGAAAAAATGGAAGTAGAAGCACGAAATCATATGGAAAGGTTGTACGGACTGGTGGCTTCGGGCAATTGTAAAAAGCCGAAAGGAAAGTGGGGAGAAACCCACTGGGGAAGGGGTGGCAAACGGAAGGAAGGAGATGCAAACTGAGGGCGGAGAGGAAGCGAGGAGAGGGAGGGGAGGCAGAGTGAGGGCGGAGAGGAAGGGAGGAGAGGGAGGGGAGGCAAACTGAGGGCGGAGAGGAAGGGAGGAGAGGGAGGGGAGGCAAACTGAGGGCGGAGAGGAAGGGAGGAGAGGGAGGGGAGGCAAACTGAGGGCAGAGAGGAAGGGAGGAGTGGGAGGGGAGGCAAACTGAGGGCGGAGAGGAAGGGAGGAGTGGGAGGGGGGGGCAACTGAGGGCGGAGGGCGCGGGCAAAGGTGCGCGGAGGCAGATGCCGCGATATTACCTAACAGAATTCCTGACGAGGTTCCCAAGAAATTAACGAAAGTAGCAGAAATGATTGGAAGGGCATGTTGAGAATGCTCAAAATATCGAAAATAAAGAAAAGCTACAACCTATCCAGGAATTTACGCACAATGAACGCATAGTCTCGCTTCATGTCCACGTCACGAATCCTGCTAAGCTAGCACTGTTGCGAATCCTCTAAAGTGAATATCGAAACATTGCGCCCTATCCAAGCTTACGCACAATGAACGCATAGTCTCGCTTCATGTCCACGTCACGAATCCTGCAAGCCAGAGAGACGGAGGAGAGGGGGGGGGGGGGGGGGGGAAGGAGGGGTGAGGTACAAGGAGGGACGCGAGCACGCAGGAACCAAACGAGAGGGAGAGGGGTAGGGGAAAGGAGGGGAAGAGGGGGGTGGGGAAAAAAGGGGGAACGGGAGGGGGAGGGAGAAAGGGTTTACCAAGGCGGCAGGGCAAGTGAGAAGCAATAGAAGGAAACATATCTAGCTCAATACAGAAAGCGCTAGTTCTAAAGGCGTGAAACCGGTCCATCTGCCGCGGGGGGGAGAAACATCTGGACAGTCCAAACACACCCACCCACCAGCAAACTCCCCATACTACACCAAAGACTAAAGCAGGCACCGAAACCGCACCAAACCGCACCATACCGCACTGAAGAGTCGAACAACTCCCAAGGAGATGCGTTGAGAACCGTCCGAACCAACACGCACGCGCAACCCGAGAAACCGCGCGTTACCCCGCGCGCGAGCGACATCCCCGTTAACAAGCATCGACTCGATAAGCGCTACGCGTCCCCGCAAAGAATAGCAAGAGCCCGGAAGCCCACGAGACGCGCGAAACCGCCCGCCAAGCGCAAACGACGGCGATCAGCCCCGCGCGTGGCAAGCGAGAAGCATCTCCGCGATTTTCGTCCACTTTTACATCGCGATCATCATCGCAGCAAATCGTGGCAGGCCACGTCAGCACAACCGCTCCTCTTCGCATCTCCGAAACGGGTCCGCGAATCAGCAGCGATTCGTGCCCGCGCGCGCGCTCGAAGCGGGAGTTGCGGGAGAACGAGAGGGGAACCGATGTTGCAACGTGAAACACCGGGAAGGGTTCGCAACCACCAGGACCGTGAAGCAAAGCGAGCGAGGGAAACACCAACAGCAACACCGCGCGAGACATGCACCGTGAAGCGACGCACGCGCGTTTCACCCGGCGTGAATTTCACCCAATTCACGTTTCACCCGATTCGCTTCTCACCCGATGCGCATTTCACCAGATGCTACAGTACCGACCCGACCGCCAGCCGGAAATCCGACAAACGCACCCCGGACGAGCGAATAACGGAAAGCAGGAGGGTCGTGAATGTGTGGATAGGAGAGAAGGAAGTCAACGACCTTACGCATGAAAGTTACGGATGTGCAAGGTAAGTAAACGCCAATAGAGTGTCTTGGATCAACGATCATATGGATCAATGACCTAACACGAACCCTCTCTCCGTTGAACATACATGGTCTTTCAGAACACCATCTTCCGTCCTATTTATATATATATATAATATATATATACTACATCAAAATTGAAACGAAACTTACCTTCCGTATTTCCCGAAAAGAGACTCGAGATCTCGAGTGCGAGTCCGCGTGGAGAGACGACCGACGTAAAGCCGAGCGGTCGTCTGGTACCCGCCTCCACCTCCCCTGTAGTCCCCTCCCCTATAGTCACCTCCTCCCCTGTAATCGCCTCCGCCTCCATAGCGTGAGCTGCCGGACCGACTGACCACAGCAACAATTTCATACAAAGCACGAGGTTACAGTTGTTCCCCAAAAACCAACAGACAAAAGCAATCAATAATTTCGACAGCAATCAGTACCATAACATTGACGAGAATCTCATGCCTCTCTGCTGGACTACACGCAACATAAGCGAACTATTCTAAAAAACCACAAATTGCACGACATCATGGTAAACTAAGGCACTACGTACGATTTTAGACATGCAAAAACAGCTTTTGGAAGTCAATAGAAAGAAAAAAGCTCTGGTGATATGCATGTCTGCAGGGAGGATTGCTCCGACAAAGCGAAGGAGAAATTACTCACTACATGGCAGCGGCGAGAAAACAAGCTCAGGAAGGCGCCAAATGTCAGCAGCCGCCTAGCTGCTCCGCTGTGTCTCCCCTGGTATGACTGCTCCCTACCAGATCTAGCCGCCTAGTTACTGGCAGAGCCAGAAATCGTACTAACAACTGAAACAACAGGAGAAAGCAGATGGATCAGCTCAGCACGAAACCCCAACAGATCCAAGATCAAGGTTTTGCCCTGAGTATGATCTTTTCGCTGGAGTTCGCATATCCGCTAGAATTTAACGTCGGAGACTTTCGCAAATTTCCCCTCAGCGGTTGCAGACTGCCAGATTGAACAAGCTGGTTACCGTGAAAACCTGCCACGAGTTCTTCGATGATCTGGAGACAGCGATTTCTCGGGGGAAGCGACGAAAATCCCAGGGCAATTCGCAAGACGGACAAGTTACGCGTTGATAATCACAAACATCTAAACATCTCTGTAAACGGTTGAGATCAGCCCTATAAGGACATACTGCTTCCTCCACTATCTCTGGCTGTACAGATAGGGTAGCTAGCTTGCACCAACTACGGTAACACTCTATGCTAGAATGAGGATTCAACATCAGCTGCAAAGGTCGACAGTCCACAATGCCCTATCAAAGCACATTAGCCATGCACTAATGAGCACACGAGCCATGCACCCCTCTTCAGAAGTCCACACTTATCCACTTAGTCGCACCGCCATAATTTTTCATTACTACTATCAGCTAGTCCATCCCAGTAGCAGAAGTTGGCTTGCGAGCCCGAATGCCAGTGTCATAGTCCACTGGATCACTCAATCCCGTTATCTTCTCGCCCAGCTCCCCAGAGGAATAAGAGGAGGTCGATGCTGTGGAAGCAGCAGGCTGAGCGGCAGTATGCTGCTGCAGGGGATGAGGGATGGAAACAGACACAGATATCGAGCACAGTTCAGCCTTTAGTCCAGTGGAACTTCCACGGATGTGGTTTTCCCTTCCAGCTCTCCATACGAAAACGAGGAGGTCGATAATGTGAAGTTGCGGGCTGCAATAAACAGTGGGAACTGGTCATGCAGGAACAAAGGGAATGGATTCTGTGAGAACTGTGAATGGCGCTAGCTGGAGTGCAAATTGCTCCTGGAAATCGGCTTGTGCTGGGAGGGGCATACAGCTAGTGAGGAGAAAAAGAGCAATGTGGAAATGACATAAAAACGAGAGGGAGAAGGAAGCAAACAAGAGGGGAGGGGGGGAGGGGGGGGAGGGGGGGGAGGGGGGGGGGGGGATTTCCAGGCTGCGGGGTGTAGTGTGGGATGGCAAACAGTTACACAGCTAACGAAACTCAGCCGCCTGGACTTGACAAGGCATCAAATCCACCCACTTGACTAAGCACATACACTGCTGGACGTAGCATCACTTTCGTTTAATGCGCCCCTACAGTCAGCCACCTGTCATTCGGTGGCTTCTAAGTCGACCCAGAAAGCAGTTCTGTCATAAGATCACACGGATGAGCAGGGTGGTGCTGTAAGCTGAGACCGCAGGGGACAAGAAGTGACTGTATGTATTACAGGTTAGCACTGTGACGCTTGAATCAACCCACAGGTCACCTGAGGTCAGCCACCTGTAATCACCACCTGCTCAAATGTAAGCGTAACTACACCCAAATCTATTTGTACACGTTCGCTCACCTGGTAACATCACTCACCTGGCGAGCGTCATGATCAACCCAACCGTTGATTTCTCATACCCGTGACAGCATTTTCGTTCAACTGGTAGCGTTCACTCACCTGCTTACGTTTCGCTCACCTGCTTAACGTTTTGCTCACATGGTAACGTTCGTAGACTTTAGGGGCGGCCTCAGCGCCCGCCTTGGCGAGAGACATGATCTTAGACGCGAGAATGCGAGAGTACTCAACGGCCAGATCCATGCCACGGGTCTGCACCTCCGCGATCCTGCGGTCAATCTCTTGCTCGTGGCGCGACAAAGCAGGCACGATGGCACGGTGGTAGATCAGCAGTGTGCCCTGAGTGAACGTAAGGACAGGAGAGGGGAGGACGGATCTGAATAAGAGGGAGAGACCACGAACCCCAAAAAACTACGACAAGCATTCGACAACGACACATCATGACAGACAAAAGGGACAGTAACAGGACGCAATGTAACCCACATAACGGTACAGGGCGGACAAACCGTGAAGAACAGCGGAGCATGCAGCGCCGACAACCCATGACAGCGACACGATTGAGGAGAAGAGAATGGAAAGGAGGAATCGTACCTGAGTTCGCGGATGCCAGAGGTAAACGCAGAAGAGGACCTTGAAGACGTCATAGAAGGGAAGCCTGGAAAAAGGAAAACGACAGACGCAGATATTTAGAATACGATATGCTGACACAGTTTCAGGCTGTCACTCGGGTAAAAGGAAAGATTCATGCAGATAGCTACGAAAAGCAGGAATCCCTGTAAGAACGATTATTCGGACGGGCATAGCACCGGCTTCAGACTGTTAACACTCACTGGAAGCACAACAATCACGTGTCGTTGCTACAATTGAACTTACCAGGTGATAAGGCCAAAGAAAAGGCAGCTCTCCAAGACGTGAAATGCCGCCATAATCACCCTGAAGTAATCATCGAGAATAGATGAGGTTAAAACGCGTATATCGTTATGCTCAGGATACATCCATGGTCACAGGCCATAGTCCATTCACGCTTGCAGTTAACAAAACAATTGTTAACACTGGGACACGTCAACAAAAACACATAACAAAAACTCACCAGTACTTGCACCAGAAGCGGAAATCATCTGGCTCTGAAGAGCGTCGCTCTACGGTCTTGTACGTTGCGTATGCTGGATACAGGTACCCCAGCAGAGACCTGCAATCGGGAGGAATGTTAAGCATATGCGTTAGTATGCAGGGTACTAAGCACATTCGCATGTTGGATACAAATACCCTAGCAGAGATCCGGGGATGACGAGAGAAATTAACCAGAGTACGATCATAGCAGGACAGCGGGAAGACAGAAAACAGGTGTAGTAGATCCACGCGACGAGTTAGAGACCTCCGGAAGAATA